AACATTATTCCATAGATTAATGACGCAAATAATGAAATAGTAGCGTAACCATCGATAATCGATTTCTTCTACCAGAGCACTGAGAAAACTATCGATAAGACATCGAAGGAAGGTAAATTTTTTACTTGCATAATTTCTGTAAATAATGTCTGATTCTAACATTTTTTGATTTCCAAAACAGAGAAGTAAAAATGTGCAAATGGCTACTCCGATGAAAACGATCATTGATTTCTTGAAACCTTCGATAACACTATAGAGACACCAATTATGAAACAGTGAAAGAGGAAGAAGTGATGGAAAGCATAATTGAATAATTTTCAACAATGCTAACATTGGTCCAAGTAGAACGAATACAACATTTGCTAAGCGGTATATATTTTGAGAAAAGTCTTTTTCTACTGCAAGATATTGTATAAAATATGGAAAAAATATTTTCATTTTTTTTTCTGAAAAGAGATCAAAATTATGATTACGTAAACATCTTTTAAGAGAATATTATGATAAATCGATAAATGATTATTAATGAAAAAAAAAAAATTTTAATTATCTAATGTCAATAGTTATTAAATTGAAATCAAAACAAACAATATAATTGGTTTAACAATTCGAAATTAGCTTTTCTTATCAGGCAATTTCGTTGTCAAACGTTGAGGAAACACAAATTATTCAATCGAAAAATCCTGAATATTTTAAATATTCTGATTCAAATTCACAAATTCTCAGATTTCTCTAAGAATCCAATCTGAATATCTTCTTTAAACACTTCTGACCTATTGAAATATTTTTCATTGAACACTTTTTAATATTTAATTCTTTCAGTACCGATAAGACCTAAAAGACACGCTTTTTTCAAACCTGATAAGTTTCAAATAATTCGGGAACAGAAGCAGATATTGAGATGCAGCGATATATATAATATCGATGCAACTTCGGTGAATAGGCCTACTTGAGAAATGTACTTGTAAGACGGTTCATCAAGAAGAATTTCTAATAGACTTTTAGGACACTATCTCTAGAAGGAGGATATATAACATCCTTTTGCAAAACTCAAGATTTTTTTGACTTTTCTGTGTTGAAATCACATAAGAACTAATTTCCGATGATCGAATTGGCTTTCTACCATTCATACAGGAAACTACGAGTATAGATCCAAAATTATTTTGAAGATTTTTTAAAAGATTTTGATGAAAATATTTCCAGTACATACTACCCATATTAAATATGTAATCTTAAATGATTTAAATAACTAGCATTGAGTATTATTCTGAAACATGCTTGGAACTTTTTGTTAATTAATCATTTCTATTCAGAAACGAACTAATTAGATTTTATTAAACAGAGACATATCATTTTTTAAACTATTTGTTAATACTGAATTATTATTGTAACGAAAATTTTCTATTGAACTATACTTACTAATACTAATAATAAATATAAAAAATAATTCAATTGAATATATTCAATCGTGAATTAGTGTGCGCTACCTAAAAAAGAATATGCTCTTCATACTCCAATGGCAAACCTTTAATGTGAGTAAAAATAGAAGTTAAATAACTGGGCAAGCACATCAAGCGTTTGCATAATTGCGATGTTTAATGTGCTTGATGAAAAGAAAAGAAAATATGCGCTGATTTTGTGCCAGTGAAACAAGTTCACACTAGAGAACGAAAGAAAATGCAGAACGTGACTTTACATCAACTTAATTTTTCGTTCTTATATTATTGACGAAAGAGCACTTCCTTTTTTAGTTTGGTAGTTGAGAGCTGCTTTTACTTTAATAATGTTGTGCATTTTATAATCATATACAACAAGACAACTTGTCACCAATTTTACAGAAAAAAAAAACTATCCTCTGGCATAGTATTATTCCTAAGATTAAGGTAACTGTTTGTCTGTGAAATGCTTAAATTGATTTCAAAATTTGATTCAATGTATCTTAGATCACATTCGAAAAGACATGATGTATTATTCCATCTGTATAAACAATTGGAGCATGACATTGTTTTCATTTATATTAATTCAATGATCTGTAGATTCTTGAGTCAATTCAGAAGAACACATAATACTCTTATGACCAACGATGATTGTATCAATGTTCTATCGATTCCTCTCTTCTTTTCTTCTTTCACATACAAAACTATGTTTTGTGTGAATAGACAAGTTGAAATAATATAGTTTATATTACACACCGAGGATAGCAGTAGTACTTTTTCGTGATGTCTCTTTGTTAAAGTAACAGTTGTCTATCAACTCTACTTGAATTGGAAAAAAAAGCAAGTAATGTAGACTGAACGAAGAGAAATACAACAGATAATATATATCGTTCGTGATTATCTATTCGGTATTAGTGAATCAATTTAATTATCATGAGAGATCGTTTTTTTTACTATGAAGAAAAGAAATCGAATAAACTAGATGAAATTTGATTTAAAATCGCTTTGATTGTGTTCAGTCAAATAGAACGGAAATATAAAATTTGTTTGATTTGTGTAATTCAATTTCGACGATTTCTTCGTTGATTTAAAATAGGATGTAAATATGAGCGTGATTGAAGAGAATATTTAGATGCTCTATAGGGCATCAGAAAATTTGATATAGAAATGTGGAAACTATAATAAGAAAAATCTTTGTAGAATAGAAAATAGATTGGGAATAGGTGTTTTAATTAACTAATGTGTATGAGAAATAAAAGTAAAAAACAATATCAAAACTGAACACTGTATCCACAAGGAAAGTCGATCTACTTGTAAACGGTGAAATAAATTAAATAGGTTCAATAAACACAAACATATAGCTTAATTCTTTTCAAGTGAATTTTAGATTTATATAGTTAACTCTAACTAAAAAAGCATAGATTAGAAACATTGTTTAAGGTCATGTCACATATCAGTGATTCAGTGGAATTAAAAAACGACGACTGTGTAATTATCGATTTCGATGACAAAGATATTGATACGAATGATTGCGTGGTGCTCTGGTTAGATCCAAAGAGAAGCTATCAAACAACAGCCAACTTGTTACAGACGGCAGGTGTCAAATATTTTGAATTATTTGATGACTTACAAAAAGTAATTGATTATTTATCCAAATTGGCCAAAGATGAAGTTCTTTTGATTATATCTGGATTTGAAAAGAACATTGAGTAAGTTGTTTGTACATTTTCGAATTCTCACGAATTTGACTGTCACTGTTGTTTTCTTCATAAATTTTCCATTATTACAAAATGATTCTAGTAGTTTTATTGAGGCTACGAAATTAGATATCTGTTATCATACGTGTGACTTAGTGAACGTATTTTATGGTAAGTGTAGGCGTACACATCTGTAAGATATCTACCAACGACAAAACTCTTGAAAATCGCATTTGTGATCTGAAGTATCGAAATTACAATAAAAAAAAACATTCTCCTAGATATATTCGGATAGTGCAAGTTCAACTGTATAAAATACTAATAATAAAACATGCAAATATAGTGTTTGAGTCTTTAGATACATGATTGATACAATATTTGATAACAAGTAACTACAGAATGGATAAAAATATTTTTCCAGAGAGTAACACTATGATTTAAATAGATTCAATAGGCAATTTTATATCAAATGAAAGCACGTTAAAAATGGAATTTATTAGTATTGAATAGAAAATGTTCTACAAAATTTCTTATCTCCAGATTAACAAATCTCTTAAAAATAGGCAGCATTAATCATGGCTTTTTATCGGACTAGAATTGTATTTTGAAATATGATCAATGAGAATTTTTTTTATAAAATGAAGGTGCATAAACTATGGAATCTATCAGTATTAAGTAGTTCATCTTCAGCGTGTGAGTGGTGTGTATGTGTATTTTCTTCACACGCAGTACATGTATATCCACACTATCCAAATATATTCAAGAGAATTCTCTTTTGATTGCCAATGCGATTTTCAAGCGCTTTGTCATTGTTAGTATAGGAACGGAGTAATATCTTTGTGTTCGTCAGTAGTTATTTCCAGTGACATTGATACTCATGTGAATTTTCCATTTATAAATCAGAAACATTTTCATTGACGATTAATTCAGTAAAGAGTTGTAACATAGAACTATAAAATTTTGGTTGTTAAATAAAATCGATTCCATCAGACTACTAGAAGTATTTGTCTTCTAATTCATTTACCTTTAAATTGGTTTTTTTTCTACTTCGCCAAGTACAGTGTAAAGCTCATCTTGGCCATTTAGACAAGTGGAAATCATGCATAAACGTCATATATGTTTGTTTATAGTGTGGGCATTGATTTGATTACAGAGACATTATCATAGATATCGAGTATTTGAATAAATATGACCATAATTTCTATTTAGTATAACATTAACTTCTAATGGACTTATATATCAAGGAAATGAAAACTTTAATGATCTTTGGTATCGAACTCTGTCAGAAATATCATCGAACGTTCGTATTTATATTTTGGACACATATATACATAATAGTGAAAAAATATTTTCGTCAATGTCTACACTCGAAGCATCTCTAAGTAGTCAAAAACAAATTTATTATTATAGACAACAATGTGTTTTACGTGCTCATTTGAATATATACTTGCAAACACATATTCTTGTCTTCTTAGATACCAAATTAAAGTTTACCGAACTTGATCCTTTATTATTACCTTCATTAAATAAATATTTCACAGACTCTCATGCATGCTTCGAGTATATATTATCAATGAATCGAGAATCAAAAATAATATTAATTATTGCTTGTTCCTTTCTTAATCTCATCAATCGAATATATTCCGACAAGTTTGGACTGTTTTTATCGAATTTAAAAGCGATCTTTATCCATGATCCAGATATTTCATCTGAGCAAATTTCTTTCGAATGGCGCGGATTTTCATATTTTATAGATGAATCTAATCTTTTAATAAAATTAAAGCAAGAATTTGGGGAAAATTCTTACCAATTTGAGAGAATATTTTACGAAGAAGAAGAAGCAAATGAAATGTCTTTACAAACTGTTAGAATGAATCGATATCACTTATTGATAAATTATTTAATTGATATTGATTCGAGTCGAGAAGAAAACGAAGACTTTTTTGAAGAACTTTGTTTACGTTGTTGTCGTGGTGAAAGTGTCTTAATCGAAAGCGAGAAACAATCTTCGGACGAATGTAATTATCTTCTTTTAAATGCATATGTTAATAGTGTTCCCAAGGATGTGTGTAGTGTACCTTGGTCGAATGCTCACTTTCCTGATGTGCGTCTTAATCGAAGAAAAACTGATGATGACCTACGCAAAGATTTCGAACAATTCAAGAAGAACTATAAACGTGAGAATGCTTTATATTGGTATACATCCAATCACTTTTTTAACAAAATATTTAATCGAGCTTGTAGAACGGAAGATGTTCTGGAAATCTATAGATTTCGTTCTTATATAAAAGATCTTTGTGAACAGTTATCGAATTTACACATAGATTACATTCGAAATTTAAAAAGTGCTGGTATATCAACGTTTACATGCTATCGAGGACAGTTAATATCCAAGAAAGAAATCAATGAACTTCAAAATAATATTGGAAAATTCTTTTTGACAAATTCATTCCTATCAACATCATTGGACAAAGATGCCGCGTATTGCTTTTGTGATAGATCTGGACAGTCAGTTAATACAGATAATTATGAAGCTGTTTTCTTTTCATATGTTATCGATATCAATATATCATCAAAACCGTATGCCGACATTCAATGTAATAGTAAATTTAAAGACGAAGAAGAAGTATTATTCTCGATGGGAACAATTTTTCGAAATGATTCAATTAATTATTGCGAGGAAAATAATACATGGTATGTCTCTATGAGTTTAGTATCGACTACTAATACAGATTTTGAAGAAGCAAAACCAAATTTCGATACTATGCAAGATAGATCTATTCTTTTAATGCTTGCCGATTTTGCTGAAGGAACAAAAAATGGTTTTACTCAAGCTGAGCATCTTTATAGACTAGCTCTACAAAATCAAGGAGAACCATTTTGGTACTATTGCAAAATATATAATACTCTCGCACGTCTATGTAAAGAAAATGGCCAATATGCAGCAGCAATTGATAACTATACGATGATAGTTAATATTAGTGAACATAATATACATTCATATCCAAATATAGCTCTAGAGAATATTATGATGTCAAATCTAAATATTGCTAAGATATATTCAATAGTAGATTATTCACAAGCAATACCCAAATTAAATGAAATAGTTGAAAATAATTCTTATGATTTAAAAGTAAAGGCAGAAGCATACAAATTAATGGGTGATATTTACAAATTGAGAATGAATTCATTAAGTGATGCATTAAAACATTATCATTTGTCATATATGAATGATTCAACAAGAGAGGAATATATTCAAAACATTACATTAGTCGAAAAAGAAATAAACAAACCTTTTCTACGTTGGAGAGAATCACTATTTGGACTTCTTATTATTTCCATTATGATTGTTTCCGATTTTATTGTACAAAATTTGTGGCCAGAAGGATTTCGCTCTACTATTTTATTTGTGTTATCCATTATTGTAGTATATGTAATTTTGTTCATGTGGAAACATGTTCAATTAACGTTTTTTCATCGAAAAACTATTCTTAATTCGAAATTATACTATTACATAATTATAATATCAACATACTCATTAAATTATATTACAGTTTATCTAAATATGCAGTATTTCTTTCCAAACAATGATAATATTAATTTAGGTATGACACTTTTAATTTGTCAAATGATTGGTATCAAACGGTTGCCAAATATTATTTATCTTGTATTATGTTTTCCAAATAATGTACCATTTTATATGATAACGTTGGTTTTTCTTCATCATTACTTTTGCTCACATTATCAAGACGATGAGTTTGATTATCAGTATGGTATATCGCTTACCCAAGAGGATCCTGTCTCATGGCAAAGTTCTTTTCAATACTTCAAAAGTATATATATTACTTAATATGGTAACTGAAGATGCTTTCCGACATAATATCAAATCATATACAATCTAATTATTGGTTAATTGTTCTCTATAGATGAACATTTTCTCTTTCTAACTTTTTTTTATTTTGAGAGCTCGGATAGATATAAATAGAGCAATTTACATCTAAAAACACAACAATCTCCTTGAATTTTATTGGAAATTAATTAAAAAGAAACAATATAGAGGAAAATGCAAGTCAAAAACAAGTATTGTATGTGGAGGAAATCTTTCCAAGTGTGAGTTCCAGTTTTCAGTAGAAAATATACCAGTTTGTAGAGTTCGACGAGTTCATTCTAGTCATATGTTCCTTTTTTGCTCATAGAACTCAAATGAGAAAATTGGTAAGTTTTATTCGTACAGGATAACACTGAAAATATCGAACTTTGAGCCACTGATTCTCACATATCACATCCAAAACTATGAAAAGAAACGATGGTCTTGATATTCTCAAAATTGTTTTTGTGCATGGCAATATTCTTTACATGATAGGATTTGACTCCCCAAAGTTGAATAAGAAAGTGTTTTTTTTATATTCCGAGTTGCATAGACTATCATTTTATCGATTTATTCAGAAAACATATCGAGAACACAATCAATGAATATGATACGCGGGAAAAAACGTTCGAAACACAATATTCGTCGACAATGATTACAACAAATAAAAATACTCTGTTCATAATTATTATTTGAGCATCTCCCGTCATCAAAAGAAAAACACACTTCTTTAACGCTCGACAAATTCGAGTATTGCTTAGGAATGTAGCCACAAGCTGATCATGTGTATGAAATCATTTGTTTAAATACAGAAAAATTAGGGTGTGGCTGTGAATATTAATGTAAAGACTTTCATAGCTCCACCCACACTCCGAAAGAATTCTTTATTCTTTATTTGTGATTTAATTCACATATAAAAATTCCAAGAAAAGAGTTGCATCACTAAGAGCTGATATTTTTGTCTGTATTTTTCTTGATAAGTAATAATCATTTACTTTGTGTATGAATAAAAGAGATAAAGCTATGACAACACATCAACCAAGTTTTTTATCATTTTTTTTTGTCGTGAATCAAAATGAATCAGCTCGATGATATTTTTCTTCCTCGCAAAAGGCGAGAGATAAATGCATTTGTGTTATAAATATTTTTGTTTTATGATGAAGGGTGCAGGTGTGGATTTGTGGATGGCTGAGAATCTGGGTGTGCATGTGAATTCAGGGAGGATCTACACTCCACGCATTATGCTAGCGACATTAAATTTTAGCTATAAATAGATCCCATCGAATATGAATCTTGATAAAAAGTTCACATTTCTAGATAATTTTTATTGCTTAGAGAGAACGGTGGGTGTAGATGTCGATAAATCACAAAATTACTACCGACCCAGGACCCAGTCAGTCAACAATAGAGAAAAAACTCGTTTTTACGCGTTGAAATGTGCGCTTTTAACGTTTTGTAACGCGTTTTCCAGCAAAAAACGACTTTTAAACGCTTGAGCAACGCATATAAACGCGTTTTTTTCACTTAAAAGACAAAATATCGCGTTTATACATGTTAGAATGTGCGCTTTTACCGTTTTTCGAAGCGTTTTCAAGCGAAAAAAAACGTTAAAATAATGCGTTTAAACGCGTTTTTTTTCCGATCTTGACTGCCTCGGGACATTTAATCCGATAATCGGACCGACTAGGATCCTATAAGAACCCATCGGAATCCTATCGGATTCCGGTAAAAACCAACAGGATACCATCGGATGGGTGTGGGTGTGGGTGTGGGGTGTGGG